AATCCGGTTTGTAGTCTTATCAGACTATTCTTAACTTATAACTTAAACATTCTCTTTATCTATCTTACGGTTTGGCCGCTGCAACAGCACCACAGACAGACGGACGGACGGACTTGTCTAATAGATAAGAGATATATACTAGTGCAAATCTACCTACGCGCCGATCAGTACGGCAGCGGCGCAATTTTGTAAAAGGGCTCTTAACGTAACGTAAAAATTTCAAAAAAAGACGCTGCAAGTGTGATTTCACGTGATACCTTATGCTTTTTGATATGTTTTGTGACAGACCCGCTGTTGGCTTAGTCTACTACAACATCTGCTAGTTTCAGCTTCATGAGATACAGTATGCTTATCATTATTAATGTTAAAATCATCAACTTCATACTAGTTAACACGTGCTTGCTGACTAGATCAAGCGTGGTTTTATCACTCATAGTGTATCTTATATCTATAGTTTAGAAACTATTGGATTGACTCAGTTCAGTCGACGACGTGGTGACCAAATGGGCAAACAGCCAAGATACACCCACAAATAAATATATCCAACAACGTCGCTGGAGAGCTAGATTTGGTGTCCGTGTCGCATCGTCGCAACTCCTTTGAAATTATAGCTATTAACGGGATTGTTACCATGTACCTTGTTTTTTATGAGTCTCCGATATTTCGGCACTGTTGCAAGCGCCGTGATTACGGAGTGATATGATCACGGAGTATAAATTATAGCTAATAACGGGATTGTTACCATGTACCTTGTTTTTTATAAGTCTCAGATATTTCGGCACTGTTGCAAGCGCCATGATTACGGAGTGATATGATCACGCAGTATAAATTATAGCTAATAACGGGATTGTTACCATGTACCTTGTTTTTTATGAGTCTTCGATATTTCGGCACTGTTGCAAGCGCCATGAGCACGGAGTATACTGCCATGATTACGGACTGATATGATCACGGAGTGTAAGCACTTTTTGGATATAAATAATTTTGGTGTCAAAAAGTATGTGCAAATAACTAACTCCACGCGCACGAAGTCGCGGGCGGCCGCTAGTAGTAAATAAAATACCCAGGTACATGTTCACTAGTGAGATTGTGTGATGGCGCGATTACACTTGGTCGTTAGCCCGAATACGAGTGACAATGGAATTCGGGTAAACGACTAAGTGTAAATGAACGGAATGGAGTGTAAAACTATTGCTGTCGCGCATTGGCAAGTACCGTCCAATAGGGACTTCTTCTTCAACCTTTATCCACCCACTGCTGAGTATAGGTCTCCTCCATGTCCCAATAGGGACAACAGTAGCTAACGCTGAAAATTGTGTATAAAAATTGCGTGCAATCTGCAAAATTGCCCATATGTTTGCGAGCCATGGCCCCTTTTGATGCTAGGGTAAATAAATACGACCCTGGTTAAAGGAGTCCTGAAGAGCTATAGGGCGCTTGTTAACGAGAGAGGTTTGGCTCTCGACGATTAACTCCTCGACCATAATTCGAGCCCTTACCGCCAAATTATCGTAAGCGACACTTGCCAAATTATCGTAAGCGACACTTTTGTCGAAATGCGTTTTTTGTGGAAACTAATATTTTAAACAGTAACGGACCCATCGCTGTTGATATTTCCCTCCAAAAGAACACCGTTATAATATAATAGAGGGAAGAATAGAGGGAAATATCAACAGAGTTGGGTCCGTTACGGTTAAAAATATTAGTTTCCACAAAAAACGCATTTCGACAAAAGTGTCGCTTACGATAATTTGGCGGTAAGGGCTCGATATGTAAAAGAAATTATACCCATACTATAGTAAGTAGTAGTTATGCTATGTCCATATGTTTGCAAGCCATGGCCCCTTTTGATGCTAGGGTAAATAAATACGACCCTGGTTAAAGGGGTCCTGTAGAGCTTTAGGGCGCTTGTTAACGAGACTTCCACCCGGTCCGGGTAGAAATCGTCTTGTATCGATCACAAACCATCCCTAGCGCTGGTTTAGTTAACAAACCAACATATTGTCCCATAGCCTGTGATGTTTCAAAGTTATAGATACGTCATACACGCTTCTAATTTGGCAATACGAAAGTCGGGTAATTGCCCGATTTGAATTCAGACGGGCACGCTCTCTCGTCGCGGCTACACTTCACTATAACACGTAGTAAATATTTCACGTTTTTCCAGACAAAAAGCACAATATGTGTTTTAGATAGTACACAAATTACACGGAAACTATTAGAGACAAGAAGAACGTGTCATTTCATTCGTAAGTAGTTTTAAAGAAATCAATGTAAAAATATTTAGTGATTACATATTTTGACATTTGCTGGCACCGTTGACACGTGGAGGCTAAAGAGCGAGATGTAATCTGCTTTATGTATGAGAGTGAAAGAGACTACTTTAGTGCGCTCTATAATAACCATAATCAAAATCATTTATTCAGTTTAGGCTGTTACAAGCACTCATGAATGTCTAGAAGCTACGCCATCGGTTCGTAAATCTACGGCGGGAGGGAGACCTTGTACTGAGAAGAACCGGCAAGAAACTCAGCATGGGCTGTTTTTTTCACGTCTATTAAGCTAGCAGATCATGGTCGCAACGCGCACATCTAACCTACTGGGTATTTAGTTGCTAATTAGTTACACTATTCCCGATTTAGTTGTACCTGTAAAGGTGCAAGTGATCTGCTCGATTAAGTCTTAACCTAGCAGACCACAATACTGTATCTTCGGTTCTCGTAAAGATATCGAAGTTCTGCAAACGGCATATTTAGTTGCTAATTAGTTGCTGTATGACAGCATTATTTGTATTATCCCCCCATCATCCCCTGATTGCCGCACCAGCACCCACACTACCCCCGAAATACGATAAAATTAAAAAGAGCTCATCAGAGAATATAAACTACGGCGTATTTTGTTGCTAATTAGTTGCTGCAAAATAGCGTCGTTTAAAAAATTTAATTATTAACCCTTAACTTCAGACCATCATGTTGATATAGGCAAAAGAGCTAGCGGTCTACCTCATAATAAGTGGTCACTGCTGCCCATGGACACTTGCAGCACCAAGGGCCACTCATGCGTTGCCGGCTCTGAACGAAAAGGTTCATCCGCCTTTTTAAGATTACCATATCATAGCTATAAGAAAAAAAAACTGAGGAAAATTCGTTCTAGATCTTGCTGGTACGCAAAAGAAAGGAACTCATGGTGCTCGAACACCAGGCGTCCAGATGGTGGGCGTGAATCTTCTCTGCGGTATGTGGTGCTGTGAAGAAACTTGGCCACTGGCACCCGGTTTAATAATTCCTCGGAACACTCTCCATTGATTGTATAGACGGTACGACACGTAGAAGGAGTTGCGTCCTTTTACGTGTTGTACCATCTACACATGCTAAGGGGTTGCAACGCGTGAGTGAGCTCAGGAGCATCGATATGTCAAACTGCCCGCTTTTGTATCCGGTCAAGAGGAAGGAGCTGGTATTAGGGTGCTCCAGCCCAGAGGACCAGTGCTTTGTAAAGTAACACCCAATATTTAGGCTTGAGGTACTTGCTAGATCTATTGAACACATAAGCTTTTTCACACACACTTGTATCTTTGCTGGGTTAATCCAATAAAATTTTGTTGGCTCCAATTTGAGACTCGATCCATTAACATCTCAATCTCGGACACAAGTCTGTCTTTACACCCTTCTTCTTCCATCCGAGGGATGTTTGACCGGCCAGTTTAAAAAGTTTCAGTGCTGTCATCCACATAGCAACGAATGCTATTATTGGGGACAGTGTGGGCGACAAAGCAGATCTTTGTTGGAAGTCAGCATTTATGGTTACAGTGTTAGAATAGATTTATTTATTTTCAAAGACATAAATTGACGGATTATTTGGCGACCCAAAACAGGAAATTTTTAAACCCGAACAACAAATGAAACCCCGCCCGGACGCTCCCCGGATGCCCCGTAAACTAGGACAAATCCGGGGAAACCCGGACGGATGGCAGCCCTAAATATAGGTGCATTAATTGTTTACCTGCATTTTGATTGCTGTGTCATACAGTATAAATACAAATCAGCTCTTTTGGCTGCTGTTGCCAAGGGAAGTTGGAGCGGGGACCATTTGTGCCATTTTTAAATGCAATAATGTTGGCGTATGACCTGTTTATATATTAAACGTCATAGCCCATACCTAACTGACGGCCGGATGTAGACACGTATATGTGTGACACGTAGCAGTCACCAATCTTAGTATGGGCGACCGAAATTTCATAATCTCGCTAAACGATCGAACCTGGCTGCATCTGCAGTCGTGAGCACCCAGCGATCCGCACAAGGTTGGTGTGGTGTTTCACAGCGTTTCTCCTTATTCCGATTATGATCAGAACAAAGGCTGTTCTAAGTAATCGGATATGGTTTCCGCACTTAGGCCTTAAGTTGACCATTGTACGTGAGCCATAGCGGCCGATTTCTTCAACCAGCCCACATCCCTCCAGAAGCAGACAATCTGGTAAAGGTCGTGAGAAGCTGCTGGATGCGGGCAGCGCAAGACCGATCCAGCAGTGGGCTGGACATAGGCCTCCCTTTCTATTCTATTCTATAGGAATTCCAAACCTCTCGGATGTTATGATGATTCTCTAAGGCTTCATATATACGAGCGGCTCGCAGCCGACGGCATCGCAACTGCAGCCATCGCCATCTTTCAGCGGCAGTCGTTGAACCGTTGACGGTAACCGTCGACCTCTACCTTCGACGTCACGTCGAGAGCCGTCAACCCGTCGACGGCAGCCTTCTACCAGGCGTCAACCCGTCCACGGCTGACGGCTCGTCAGCGGCGGTCGTCGCCACGTTGTGATGCCGTCAGCTGCGAGCCACTCGTATATATGAAGCCTAAAGTAGACAATACTATAGCAGAGCTCTATCAAAGAGATCGTTAAACTATGCTTAGCAGTTTTTTGTTGCTCCAATTTCCTTCATGTTTCACGAGAACTGATCTCGATTTCCTTACACCCGCGTCATCTACTGATTGATTACTTAAAAGAGGAGATAAAAAAAAACAAAACATTCTCCTTCCGCAAAAAGCATAGATACTCCGCCGATCATACTTTTTGCACAGATCCAATAACTAGCGTCGTTTTAAAAAAACAACTGTCAACAAAAGGGCGCGCGAACAATTCAGCTTTTATCGCGCGCGTTCGCATTTCGAATTGTGGCAAATCCTTCCTGTTTCCGCATTGGCCCGTTTAGTTTTTCGCGCGCTATTTTCACTATAAAATGCGGGGGTGCGTCGTTAGTTCATCAGTTGTGGGGTGCATGCGGCGCCCTGAGGATCTCGTGCTTTTCTGATTTTACAACGGTGAGTTGAATTCTATTCCATTACGACATCTTTCTAGCATACTTATCACCAGGATATTAATTTATCCTTGTAACAGAGAACCTGATTAGGCTTCTTACAAGTTTGGGAACGAATTTCCTTCCGAATACGTGGATGGATTGAATAAGGTTTTCCCTGATGAAGCATGGGCACGTATACCCTTGGTGCTACCAAAGTCCATAGGTCATTGATACTCACACATCAATTCGGGTGGTATTTTTTTTATGTTTTCAGTAATGTTTCATTATTTTTGATAAGACCAATGCTGTTTTTGATAACGTAGGGGGAAATCCTAAATACGAATACTGTATGTTCTCAGTAACAAAATGGGTTATTCTACGGATACTATAATCATAACTTAAAGCAATTTTCGATCACAATTATTGAAATTCTGGCTGTTAGTAGTGAGTACTCTAATATCCGTATACTAAGAAATTCTCATTTCATAATTTAAATTAATCGTACCTGAAATCTTCTCGAGTTCAAGGAAGCTCTCAAATTCTAGACATGATTTAACTCTACTCAAATTAATAACTGTTTCTTACTTAGTTAATTACTAAGCTGAATTCAAATTAATAAAAAATTAGACAGCCTTCATGAAAGTCAATACATTTAGAATTTAATGAAGTGGCTGGTATAAAGTAGGTTTTAAAAAGCATTGCGAAGCCTTTGTATCACTTCAAATGGCTGAAAAATGTTTTCTTTGTCCTGTTTTTTTTACCAAAACAAACAGTTTAAAACAAATTCAAGTTGTCTTAACTTCAAAGACAATTCAAAATTAGAACACTTTTAGAAAACCTTCATTTTAAATTAAAATGGTTTTGAAATTCAGAGCGCGTTAAGTTCCACTTGCACCAAAGTTCTAAATTCGAGTCGAGGCTTTTTTTTTACACATCATTCCATCTTTGTCAATTTTTAAAAGGCAAATAGAGAAAGAATGGGGCTGGACTTTTTGGCGGGATCGGGAAGCGTCCCTTAGCAGTTTTGTTTTTCTTGTTAAAAATTGTGTTGTGGCGGATGTTAGTGTCTAATAATGGTGGATTATTAACCACTAAGTGTTCGGCAACATGCACAAGTGTTGGCAAGTGAAACAAAATAGCGGAAAGTGTCTTTCGACGTTCCCTCAAGAAGTCCGCGGGGAGGTTCCAGTAAATCCCCACACATTTACTGAAACACAGGGAAAGGGGGTTTGACTTAACTGCCACTTACTTTGACCACGAGTGCTATAGAATTTGTAAACATTTAAAACTTGACATTGGCTAAACGCACAAGCCGTGCAAAGCCATTTAGAAAAAAAAAGGATGGGGCTCAGACATTATATCAGCTTTTATCTTTGGATTGAGAACGTTGATGAAGCGGGCCTGGTGTAGGTTCAATAATTTCAAATTAAATTTTTATTCATGGCGCGATTACACTTGACCGCTAGCCCGAATGCGAGTGTCAATCCAATTCGGGCAAACGACGGAGTCTGAGTAGGTCCGTATTAGGATAGTTTTCGTTTTGCTCACCCGACACTGTCTTCCAGTCCGTATTCCAGTGTAAATATTGCTTCGGGTGCCCGACTACGATATATATTTTAATGTGTATGCTGTTGGTCGCAGATGACCTTTACAGCGTCATCGGGTTTGGGGACGGCGAGATCCTAAGGGGACCTCAAGCCGAGAATTGGCGAGTGCCTTTGGAGGTATTCCAGGCGGATGGTATGTCCCCACGGTGGGAGTCTCCTCTCCGTCTGGAGCCTGTAGACAACTCGAACCTGAGGGGGTCGGCTCAACCAGAGGGCGTCTCTGAGACTCGGACCTCGGCTCTAGCCTTGGGGGGCGGGCCCGACTACGAGTAATATCTTTCGTGCACCCGAATACGACCTAACGACCTAATGTAATTGAATCATTAGAATCCCTTTTTTTATATAGGCAGGCAAAAAATACTATTTACAGACGACGGCGCCTTTAAGAGGCTCACCGCCGAACGGACCTCACACCTGGCTCCCGCAAGCCTTACGAGCCCCCGCAGTGCCTGCCCACTGAGGACCCCGTAACCCTTACGGGCGCTTTACGGCATAATATCCGCTAAAAAACCCTGCGAACACCCTCTAAGCTGCTTAGCGCGAAGCCGCGGGATCCCCGTTTAGGGATTCTTCCGCGTCTATCATTCATTAGAATCTCCTAACTTCTGTCACTTTCGAGTATTTTATTATATTTTAACAATGCAGTTTCAGATTACTTATCTGTTACAATACAAATAGCAGTTTTAGTAAGTATAATGAAACGTGCATTTAGTGTGGTCCCGCACTAGAGTCACTGGATACCATGCCATTCTTCAAATAATGGACACGTGTTATTTTATAATAACACCCTTTCCGCGTATCTATCAATTTGACACCATGCTTATGTTGCACCATATCATATTTTAAACGTAGAATAAATTATCGTTTGTGCAACGCCTAAAGTATATGACGACCTCCGTGGTCGAGTGGTTTGTACGCCGGGTTTCAAGGTGTCGCCGACTCGAGAGGTCCCGGGTTCGAATCCCGGTGGGGGCGGATGTTTGTGTGATGAATACGAGCATTTGTACTCCAGTCATGGATGTTTAATAATGTATTTCTATATAAATATACTTATATATGTACTGTATATGTATTCTATCCATTACCCTAGTATCCTATAACACAAGCCTTACAGTGCTTACTTTGGGGCTAGGCTAATTGGTGTGAGTGTTGGAAATATTTATTTATTTATATACCTACAGCCACAGCCGCAGTTTACGGAACTTGAGGCAGATGGTGCGAGTCGGTAGTCACCGGTGGGACCATAGAGGTATAAGAATAGAGTAGGGGAGATATAGACTCTACTACAAGTGGTAGTGTCCCTCTAATAGAAAGAGAAAGAAGATGCGAGACCGCTAGCTTTCTCTCTCTAATCGCGCATGCGCATTGGCAACCGTAAGCATGTTACTATTTCGATGATTGTGATGCCATTGGATGCCATGCGTCATAAGAGAGACAGATAGCTAGTGGTCTCTCATCTTCTTCCTCTTTCCACAAGACGGACTTTTAGAGCCGCCTTCCATACATAGTAATATTTTATCGTATTATAATAATAAGTCTCTATCTAGGACGTCCGTACGTGGCAGCTTTATTGCGAAGAAAATGCATTTTTTTTACAATAGATGTCGCTAGGTGCGCTTAAACGTGATTCATGTAAGTTGATTTTTCTGAGAGATAAACTTTTTTAATGTAATATAAATTGTAGTTTGTGTACGATAGCGCAATAAATAAATATTGTATTCTGCCACATAAATGATAGCCACTTTAATATTGATAAATTAAGGCAATTCGTTTAAAATTATTCCCTAACCATTCCAAAATATCAAAAATTTATTTAAGTTAATATTCAAAACGGCACTCCCGGAGTGCAACCCGTCGTTTTTTATATATATATATATATTTTTATAAATGTAGCAAAGGGATAAATATCACATTGAAAAAAAAGCTGAAATTATCGAGAATTTACTTATCTCAATTACCTTTAACGCTTATTGAATCAGGTATTAAATATATTTTATTATAAACCGTATATAATTTAATTGTCATAATTTGTAATTTGCGTTGATTAAAGCTAATTTGGTGTGAGTAAACATAATATTATTATGATTATGACGTAATTTTGATAAGAATGCAAATCTTATAAAAATAAATGAATATTTCCAACACTCACACCAATTTAGCCTAGCCCCAAAGTAAGCCCTGTAGGCTTGTGTTATGGGATACTAAGGTAACGGATAGAATACATATACTGATACATATATAAGTATATTTATATAGGAATACTTATTAGCATCCATGATTGGAGTACAAATGCTCTTATTCATCACACAAACATTGCCTCCACCGGGAATCTTACCCGGGATCTCTCGAGTAGTCGACACTTTGAAACCCGGCGTACAAACCACTCCGCCACGGAGTCCACGTCTTATAAAAGTATGTATATAAAAAAATTTAGACCTAATTAAAAATAAATAATAGATAGCATAAAGAAGAAATACTTAGAACTGTTCAAACATATAAAGAAATCTTTTTATTTAACTAGTGGCCCGCTCTCGCTTCGCTTCGGTGTAGAGCTGTAGTGTAGACTATAGTTTTTGTTCTCAGGCTTGTATTTATACACAATGACATTCTTCTAATATCTAATTACAATAGGCACGCGCCGCCAAGCCCTCCGCCCGGTAGCGTCGGAACCGCTATGTCCCTGCATTTTAAATTTGTAATATCTTCGAAATTATTCATTTAAATTACATGCGTTACAGGGCCAAATTGGTCTATATTAAATGCACTATGTATTTAAGGTACTTAATTGGATAAGGATGAATGTTATATTTCTGAAAATCGCTTCGTAAATAATCTAATATTTCTCGTAAAAAGTATAGGATAAAAAATGGTTATTTTGGGTTATCCCTAAGAGATAGACTTATACCATCGCGGACTTTTATGTAGACCTTTTTAAGGTGTACAATACTGTAGGACATTAGTTTGATCTATCGCGTAGGGTTCAGCCAGCGTTTGCAATGTAAGCGCAAACAATGTGTTTATTTACGACCTTATATTAAAATCCTCTTAAATTATCAGTGTTTCTCTACTATATTATGCATGTATTATACATATAAACCTTGCTCTTGAATCACTCTATCTATGAAAAAACCGCATCAAAATCCGTTGCGTACTTTTAAAGATCTAAGCTAAGCATACATAGGGACAGACAGCGGGAATCGACTTTGCTTTATACTATGTAGTGATATGTAGATAAATATTAAAAATAACTACTTAAATAGCATTTTGAGCCATAGTCCCTTGCAATACGGTGCTAGATTACAAGAACGATGTCTTAGTGGTGCCTTAAAACTGCTTGGTCAATAAACCTCTTTTTTATTTAGCCGAAGTACAAAATGAGTAGGGTTGGCACCTAATATTATGCAACTATTTTTTG